GTTCATGGTCAGTCTGAATCTGCATATTGAGACCCTGTCTGAAGAGGAAAAATTAGGAAAAGCAATAACATTAAGAATTAAATAAGAAATCTAATTATATTAGTGAAATCTAATCTCCAGTGATCTGGAAAAAATATTTAAAGTAGAGATGGGTTTCTACTAGCTAACTTTGATGTAGGAATTATGTCTCAAAGATCTGCTCAATTAGAAACTTATTCTTGTGGTCACATAGAAGATGAATTAAAAATTAGCATGTGTGCCTACATTTTAAAAAATTAATAAAAGACATAATGTTATTAATCTCCCTCAGAATGCTGCCCAAAGGGGGTCCAAGGAGATAGCTCAGTGACATAAGCACTTGCCTGGCAAGTGAAAGGTCCTAAGCTCTATCCCTGGTACCACAAAAGAAGAGAAAGAAAGAAAAAAAGAAAGAAAGAAAATGCTGCCCATCCCTTTGAACATGTGTACCCTATGGTTCTCACCACTTTCTGAAGCAGTTCTGGAAGTATCCATCGAATGCCCAGCAGGTCATGGAATTTTCTGAGCTCTGCGTCAGCTCAGGCTCTAATGTTGCCTTAGAACTTTGAGATTTCTCCCATCCTCTGGCTTTTGGATCCAGGCAGCTGCTGTCTTTCTAGATGTCCTGAGGCCCCTACACAATGTGCAGCCTGGGAATTAGTCAAGCTCCCAGGTCCATTTCCATGCCAATTGCCAGGGCTGTTTCTCGATGACTGTCCTCTCTACATTTCTCTTCCTGGCCCAGCTCCTGGAGTGTCCTTAACTATACTTTTGGACTGTTCTGTTGGCTCTGCTTCCATGGGTGAAGGCTTTATGTCACCGCCCCTCCACAGGAAATTTGGATGAGCATGGGGCCAATTGAAGTACAGTAGTTTTATCAGGACTTGCAGCTCTCTCTCAATTGTTTTCTAATGCTTCCAAACAGCTACTTTGTACTTTTTCATTGTTAAGTACTTGTTCTCAGTAAGAAGGAAAGTCTAATCACAGCTAAAACAAAATTATATTTGCTAACTACATAAACAATGATGATAAAATACCTACCCAGAGGCAACAAATAAGGAAGGGGACATCATTTCTTGCCTGGAATTTCAAAACAACCCATGAAAGACAGTGGCACAGAGTGCCCCTCCTTTCCAGAAGCAGTGTTGATGAGTCCTCACACCCTGACTCATTTTCTCATCAGTTAATTCCTCCAAATTTGAAGAAAAGCCCCACAGCGGCCATTATCTATCTCCAAGGGAGGAAGGGGAAGAACAGCTATAGAGGAAATAGCTAAGGAGAAAGAGTAGACGCTTCCAACGATGAATGGAGAAAGCAGTCTCAAACCTGAGGAAACCATTTCTTTGTGGTCCTTCTTACAAAAACGGGTGCTGAAAGCCTGCATTAAATCCTAGCAGCAAGCAAACCCCCTCACCGGCTGCTCAGAGACTCACACGATCCCTCCCTTGTCCTTTATCTTCCTGTTTCAGGACAGCAGGCAGAAAGCAGTACTCACATTCAAACCATTTCTTCACAGAGAAAACAAACAGCTTTCAGATAAAACAGGGTGGGAGCCAAGCAGAATTCACTTAATATGCACCATATTAAATATGACTTCTGGTTTTAAAAGAAGCAGCATAATAAATACAGAAATATGCCATGCAGGAGAAAAGGAACATTGTAAGCAAAAACAGGTTAGTAGCAAAATAAATTAAGACCATCAAAGACAAGCAAAGACAGGTATTCTCAATTATATAACAGGTCACCTGCAAAGCTTTCTTGGAAATGCTACTTAATGAAGAAATCAAAAGATGGATCACTCTAAAGAACCAATAACAGAAGAACCTCAGAAAAAAATTTAATTAAATGAATTTCTTCCATTTAAATATAGAACTGAATTTACTTTGGGAATAAAAATTACCAGTAAAGTGCAAATGTTATGAATCTTGACAATGAGCAAATGATGCTTAAGTAAAAACACAGAGGTAGGCAGAGAAAATGAGAGGTAGAAGAAGAGAGTTTATTTCCTTTTCTTTCAAAGAGCAAAAATCCATTGAATATTGAATAAAGCAAACCTGTGTTTAGGCATAATGAAATGAGATCTCGTTTTATGTAATAATTTTGGCCTTACAGGAATCATTAGGATGAGCTATCTCATAAGAAGAGTAAACATGCAAAGTTCATCTACTTTCTTGAGGTTCTCTTGGATTTCTCTATCTCCTGCTTAATTAAGTATATTTTTAAATTAAAATGGCATTTGCAGCACGGTGGTGCCCAGCATATCTGCATGACATGTCAGGTATCTGCTAAAATGTCTGTCTCTGTGCTGTGATAGCTGAAGTGCAGTTTCATCTCTTACTATTTCTGTGTAGTGTGATTTTGAAGACAATTTTCTACTTCTTTGCGTTTCTTTTACTGTTTAAATTACTTACAGTGAATATGATTAACAACCACTCACACGCACAAATACACACACATTCCAAGCTTTAGTTTTTAATGTTTTGGACTCATACTGGCTCATCATCTACTAGTGTTGTGTTAGTAGTTGTGTCTTAAGCTTGAATCCTGGGGAGTGACACAACCCAATGTAGGGCATAGTATGTAAGTATACTATGTACATACTGTACTATGTATACTACTCTATACTATATGTATACTATACTATATGCATACTCTAAATATACTATATAGATACACACTATCCTTTCAAAAATCATTTATTTATTTATTTATTTATTTGGTACAGGGTCTCACTATGCAGCTCGGACTAGTAGTGATTCTCCTGACTCATCCTCCTCAGCCCTGGGATTACAAGTGTGTGCTGCCACGCCCAGTTTCCAGCCAGCACAGCTCCAGCACAGCATAGGAAATCAGGGATTGAACCGGGTCCTTGCTCTTGCCAAGCAGGCACTTAGACCGCTGAGCTATCTCCCCAACCCATGCACTTTACTTTTTAAATTGTAGGTTTTGTAGATATTATGTATGTTACTTAAATCTATAGATTAATTGGTAGTATACATAATGTGTACATATGTCATATATTCATAGATATTTTATTAAATCTTGCCCTGAATATGAGATTTGGTGGGGTTGGAAGATAAATGGGAAATTTGAATACATCAGGGCTACAATATTTGTTTATAATTTGGAACTCTATAAAATTCTACGCAGTCTACCTGGGCAATTGTTTTCCCATTTTAAGCTTCAAAAACCTCTATAGTACCGAGATGTCAAAATAGCCATTGTTTTCTTAAACTTCAGTCTCCTTTGTTTAATTTCTTATTGTCCCAACTTCAACATGTAAGTGATTCTAACATATCTGGTCACCCCACTCGTTCAATCTCTTGTTCATTCTACTGTTATTATTTTTTAAATAGCTACTCTCTTCCAGGTGCTAACGTAGATGCTGAGCACGTGAGATACACATGGCATGTTCCCAGCTTCCGGAAGTTCCAGGTAGAGTGGAGAAGTCTGGGAAATGAAGACATAGTGACAGGTCATAGGTGCTGGGAGACACGAAAGGAGCCCGTGACCCGGGGGTGTGTGGCGGGAGACAGTTTTGTTGGGAAACTCTAGGGGACTCCTACTCCTGCCAACTTCTTTTTTTTTTTCTTTTTTTATTTTATTTTTTTTCTTTCTTTTCAAAGTTTTATTGATAAACATATAGCAATGAGACAGTTTCAAATCAAATCGAAAGTACAGTTTCAACAAATAATACACTGCATATATTCTTCTCAGTGGTTAATTGCTGTACAAGATGCAGACTTGTGATCCTACTTACAAACACCATTAGAAAAAATCATTCTATTCATTAAGAGAATGCAATTATATATCTATCTCAAACCAAAAAGCTACAACTCTTGTTGCATAGGTCCTGCTTTACCTTGGTCTTAGCCATCCAGTAGAAAAGTATGAAGATGAAATATAGGAAGTAAAGCCATGTTGTTATGTTGAGCTGTGGGGGACTCATGTCAATAATTTCTGACATTGCCAATTAAACAGAAGACCCAATGCTATTATGGGCTTCTGTACTCTTTTAGAATATTTTGCTGAGTTTACACACCTATAATATTCAACAACGGAACTTAAAAAAAATTGGGGTATAACTATGAATGTCCATTTTGTATCTGTGTATCCAACTTCTTTACTATGCCTGCCTCACAGTGGGCGGCTGCAGTGGCTTGCTCAGGCAGCCCCAGGCGGTAAACTGTGCCCCTGGTTACCTCCCTCCCAACATGACATCTGCAGATTGTTCACTTAGCCTTGGTTGCCTACCTGCTCCCAGTGAAGACCTCTTGGTATGTTGGTAAGAATACCCGAGGTGGTTCAGTAAAATAAGTGCTTCCCTGGCAAGCGCAAGGGCCTGAGTTCAATCCCCAGTTCCGCCCCCCCCAAAAAAAAAGAAAAGAAAAAAGAAAAGAAAAAGAATGTCCAGATCTGAAATTTTAAAACCATCCCCCTCAACAACAATAAAAACAAAAATAAAAATAATTAAAAAAAAAAAAAACCCTCCCATAGGTGTTTCTTGTTCCTTTGCTCATAAATTTCAGTCTTTGAAAAATCACTTAACCTCTCTAAACCTCACTTCCTCCTCTGGGAAAGGCTATCGATTGTAATCCTAGCGCTCACTCCAGGGAGATGTGGATATCAAATGAGAGGGGGGCTGTAGCCCCGACCTAGCCCAGCTCAGGTACCTTAGATGTCTTTCTGGGCCTGGGAGTGTGGCGGGGAGCGCCTCCAAGCAGAATCTCACGAATGCTGGTGAGCGGTTCGTGAACCTCGGGGATCCCTCAGATAGATGTCCACAAGAATGTCAGTCCAGCACAGTATTTATGTCTTTCTGAGTGTCTCATCTCTCTGCTTGCAATCCAGCCTCTGTTTCCTTCCCACCACCTACTATCCTCTGTTTTGCTTTTCAAATCTCCAGTTTCCTCTTGGGTAACCTGGGGGTAATTAAATGTATTTCCAAGGGATGTTACGAGGATCCTTTGAAGTAAAGAACAGAAAACAACACGTAGTGATGGTTTCATACGCAAGGTTTTAATCAAGCAAAGTCAGTTTTCTGCCAGAGCCCGGAGGCCGGGAGCTGCGAAAGGAGAGAAGCGCGGCCCGGGCGGGCGCTGCGCGTGGAGAGCTGGTGCTCGGGCTCGCGGTCCGGAAGGAGCCCGCGCTGGCCCGGTAGGGGGCGCCGGCGCGTCTCACTGCAGCATCCTGGCGGCGGAGCGGTGGCCTCCGCCGGGCGCTGCTCGCGTCCTGCCGCAGTCCGTCCTCCGCGGGTGCCGGCAGCGCCACGGAGGAAACCCCCGCCCGGCCCGCGCGCGCTGCCGCTGCGGCTCCCACCCGCGATCGCAGCCCGGCGAGTCGGAAGCACCAGCTGCAGCCCGGGCTGGTGGCGCTGGAGGGCTTCGCGGTCCTGCGGGACCCATCGCGAACTTGCAAAGGACCGCGGCTCCCCCGGCCTGGAGAGCGAACAGGTGAGTGTCACGCACGTGTCCAGGTGACTCTTCGGGGCCACTCCCTGCGGATCAGTTTCGAGTCCTTGAGCTCTTGGCATCTGAGAGGTCAGTGCTGGCGGTCACTGGGTGCCCCCAGTGCGAATTGGGGTTCAGAGAGAGAGAGAGAGAGAGAGAGAGAGAGAGAGAGAGAGAGAGAGAGAGATGAACGCCAGCACCCGGTTTTGCCAGCACTCTACACTGGCCTTTTCGATTGAGGCTCTATTGCCTGCCTAGTTGGAAAGCCAGTGACCTGCAGCTCCCCTGGTTGTTTGTCGTCGCACGGTACCTGTTGATTTCGGACTAGCACTGTATCAAAGGGTTTATAAAATTACCCTCTCCTGGAGGTGCTGCTTGGTGATGTGGGGAAGAATTACTAGCTCGTCGTGGAATCAGAAAAACTTGATTTCGGAAACAGAGGAAGGTTGGCCCAAAGAAAGAGTCTCATTCCCACAGCCAGATGAGGTTCTTCAGCTGCTCTTTATTTTGATGAGAACATAAAAATAGAAGTTAGAAACAAATGAGTGCCAAGATGCTTTCTCCCCCCTCCACCTCCTAGAATGTTAGAAAGAGGACCCTCAGTAAGCACAGTCTTGAGGATGATTTATCAGGACTGAAAACGGTTTGCAAAAAAACAAGGTTTTAGTCATCTCAATATCATAGGTCTAACAGGCTAGGCTCCTGGAAGGTGGCCAGTTGTTTGTATATACATTCTCTGTGGAATGCATGCATGTAGTAATGATAATACAAAATTTGGAGCATTTTTCTTCATTTAAAATTTTTCTTTTATTACTTTATTTTTAAGAAAAATATCCATTGATACATTGACTTTTCTAAATATTCAGATGGCGTTTACTTTTAGGAGTGCTGGGAATTGAGAAGTTTTTGTCCCTAATAAAGCGCTGTCTGTGTAATAGATGGAGCCAGTGTCTAGCCACAGTCAGAATATTTCTACACGCTGAAACAGATGTGTTTTCTTACATCCATTTTATGGAAGGTCTTAGATGATGAATTATTTTGAACATCAGAAATTTGGCCATAGGTTACTTACAACAGTTTATACATTAATCTTTTTTTGATTTTGTCAAATGTAACTTTTTGTATTTCCATGTGAATAGTAAAATTTTGAAGAATCTATGTCAGTTTTTTTTTTGTCTTCCTTTAAGTGATGTTCCTAGCTATAAGTTTGACAATAACCAGATATACTTTAGTAAAAATATATAACCCAAATGATTTCTCTTTCCTATATGAAATTCCTATGCATCCAAAAAATGTAGTTTGAGAGTTTACTGAAATATTTGACTTCTTTTTAAAATTCACATTTAATGGTTACTTTTATGCAGCACTGATCAAGAAAATAATTACCTGGGTTTTAATAATAGGAATGAACAGTTTTGCATAAAATAATAAATTGTTATTTACGTAAGTTCCAACACTTGCATGTTTTGTTTCAAAGATGCTAGACATAAGCTATTCTCATCTAGAATTTTATTTATTTATTTAGACAAGGTTTTGCTATGTAGCCCAGGCTGGCCTTGAACTTACAGTGATCCTCCTGCCTCAGCCTCCCAAGTGCTGAGATTATAGGTGTGCACCACCACACCCAGTCCATCTAAAATTTATGTAATTAAAATTGTGTAGTTAATATATTTCAATGTATATACTTTTATGATGAAGCACTAGACCTATACATCAGAATCTTTTCTTAATGAATTCATATGAAATGACAAATAAAGAAATCTTTTTATCTTTATCCAAAAGTATGAGTCTGGATAACTTGCAAATGTTTACACTTTGGAGTGTTGTATACTGTGAACGATCACTAGGAAGTTTTTCATTGGGAGATGAAGTAAACAATAGTTAATGTTAGTGCTGACATTTCTTCCTGCAAAGGAACTTGGGAAATCAGCAAATACAAAGCTTGTTAGGGATGAATTGAGCACTCCAATGGATAAGGAAAACATTACTGTCTCTGTGGACACTGTCAGAAGGAATTTTCACTTTTTCTCACTTGAGCTCTTCTTAAACATCTGCAGATTAAGAAATGCTCCTAGAAGCAGAACAGTTAACATATTTAGATAACAGATTTGTGTTCCAAAAACATTACCGCAGACTGCATTGGTGGGTGAATCACGAGAACTGATATGATGAAGTTTAACACTCATAAAAGCCAAGGCTTGCATTTGTCTTTAAAGCATAAATTACAGGAGTGTAATCAGAGCGTAGGAGTGTACAGTTCGTCGGACAGATAGGAGCTTTCTGTGAATGATGGTGTGACAGTACCACGGTGGCATGCAGGCAGCGTCTCGGGGAACTTCTGCTGTGTCAGTTGGTCAGGTCACTTATCAAGTAGTGAATGTTGTGGACATCACGTTGTTAGGGTCATTAAAACAGAGTATACCAGAGAGGGGTGGTGCTTGTGGTGAGAGGGGGAGAAGGTCAAAAATCAAACAAAAATAATCCATGGTGTTTATCCTATGGAGAATAAACTGCCATGCTGGAGAGTAGAAATGCGGGACAAGGTGAAGAGTTATAACAGGTGTGACCCTACATGATGGGTTCTGAGATTAAGAAATAGTTGCCCTTTTTTAGATTACTTCTTTGAAAAAATCCTGGACATATTAGCAGAAATCTTAGGAAGACAGATCAGAGCTCTGCATAAGAGAGCCAGTTTTCCTAATTGGAGGGAGCTGACTAGAAAGAAAACAGTGTTCAGAGGTAATAAAGCCACTTCCTAAATCTAGGGGTAGTAAATCAGGCACCAGATGATCCTGCGGGCTTGAGGAAATCCTCTTGCAATGGCTGGAGGATTCCTTTGGTTAATCCTCCCAAGGCTCTTTCCAAGTTTACATTTCCTTGGTACTTAGAACCTAGATTTCATTTTGAAAGCACCAACACAAAATGTGTTTACATTGTTCATAATCACATCCCCAGTGTTAGGACAATATTATCAAGTAACTTATGTGAGGTCATCATAAAAAAAAACAAATCACAACTTGGAGGATTTTATTTATCTTTTTCTGTACCAGGGCACTGTGGACATAAGAATATACAAATATAATCTTGATCTTATGTATCAACTCCAACAACTTGTGCATCTGTTGCCTAACTTGAGCATGTGATGTACTGTGAATTAGGATCCAAATTAACCTTGAAATACAAAACAGAATTGCATGGCGGTGGAGTTAATTAATATGAATGTACATTATTCAATCTAAAAGAAATAAAGAAGCCCAGAAATGCCCTTCACCATCATGTGTACCTATATGCTTACACACAGTGGTAAATGGCTTTATTTACTACTTCAATAATTTATTTTAAAAAATAAAATAAAATAAAAAAAGAATTTATTATCAGTCAGAGCCAAGAAACAATACCTTCTTAAAAAGTCTCTTGAGGAAGCACTTTTGAGAAGGATATTGTGTGAGCATGCACATAATTTAGAATCCAACACTTACATTCTTAAATCCTGATTCTTTCTTTCATTTATTAGTTTATAAAAACATCACTATGGCCCTCTCACAGGATGGTGTGAGAGATCAAGTTAGAAAACACTGATAAAGTGATTGCCTACTGGCATACAATGGATGTTTAATACAAATGAATTCATTTTCTCTTTTATTTAAGGGTTGTGGACTCTCCCAAAATTTTACAATGATACAGTGACTCCAAAGGCTAGAACGAAAACATTTGCTCAGAATTTTGAGTTCTAGCAACAACAAATTCTACCGAAACTCACCATGGCCAAAAGTGCGGAGGTCAAACTTGCAGTATTTGGGAGAGCAGGCGTGGGGAAATCAGGTAAGATTTCTGTTGTGGTTGTTGCAGAGTGTGTGTGGGTGTGTGTCAGCTACTGCCCCTTGGGATTCGGCAGGTGAGTGGTTGGCAGTTCTCTTCCTTGTTTGCTGCTGTCTTAGCTTAAAATCTCCTTCCCTTGGGAACTTTTATTTTGCATAAGCAACTTGTTGAGTATCCCTTTGTCTTTTCCTGATAACGTAGCTTTGTTGATATTCTCACAAGGCAGTGGTCTTGATATTCTGAGGCATGGTAATAAACAACCTCCAAAGAAATCAGATTTTGGAAATTTAGAACATGTGTTTGCCTTTTTCTCTTTATATGAGATTCAGAGGGGCTGGTTCTATATCTCAATCATTTTGATATTCTCAGCAGACTGCTCATAGTCAAGCATATGCTGGGTGCTTAGTAAGTTCTTGCTGAATGATCTATCTTTGCCAGAAACAGAATATTGGCATTACTGTCCAGTACTTCTAAAACTAGAAGAGAAGTCTTGAACGTGAGGGGCACATACTGTCAACTCAAGACAGCTATTGCCTCTGGGGTGATGTTAAATTTTCAAATGATGGTGAACAGAAGTAATTCACAGAGTTTTTGATTACCCACCTGAGAAAAAGTTTGCATACCAATAATACTCAGCATGCAATGGTGGAGATGAAAAAATATACCTAGCACCCGGTTTGTAAATCATATTTTCCATTTCATAATTCAAGCAAGCTAAAGAAGATGATGCTAAGATGCTGTCTGTTATAAACCCCGGTCTCTCAACAATAAATGGTTCTGTGCATGGAACTTTTGGGTCTTAGCAAAGTAAACAAACAGCTAGGTAGTGGTGTGTATTTGTGGAGGGACACTCGCTTAGAAGTAACCCAGCAGGTAATCCACATGATATACAACACAGAAGCACCTTTGAATTCCATGGCCAATCTCTTTTTTCATCGACTCCCTGGCTTGGTTTCAGCAGTAACTTATTCTAAGCCTTTTTCTGTATTTTTTTTTTTTTTCATTTTTAAGTGCTCTTTCCTGCCACCGTGCTTTTCTTCTATGTGCTGCTTGCTTTTTGCCTCTGGCAGAATCCAAGCAGGGAAATGAAGTTGCTGCCAAAGCTAAGACATCGCCAGCCTTCACCAGCTTGAAGATGGTTAAACTCCTCCCCATTAATTTCCCAGGTGGTTCCTAATGGCATGAGAACTTCTTTTCTGCAGCTGGCAGAAGGACCTAGAGAATGGGGAAACTTAGAGCCAGCAGCAAGCGAGTGCAGCATGCCTGTGCTGCCCATACCAGCTCATCTGAGCCTTTATGAATGACTAGGCCTCAACCTAGTCACTAGTTATTTATTCATTCAATGCTTACCAAAAGTAATAAGGGAAAGGGATTTTTTAAAAAAAGTTTTACATTGTTTATTAAAATAAACTCCACATGGTTAAAAACTTACACATAGGGCTGAGGAGACAGCTCAGCGGTCTAAGCGCCTGCCTGGCAAGCACAGGGACGTGGGTTTGATTCCCAGTACTGCATGGCATACTCACCACTGAAACTGGACATGCTGGCATAAGCCTATAATCCTGGCACTAGGGAGGCTGAAACAAAGGATCATGGCGAGTCTGAGCTGCATAGCCAGACCCAGTACCAAAAAAAAAATTACACATAAAATTTAAAATTCCTCAGAAGAATCACTCAGCTCTCTTTCTATACATGCGTCTCTTTCCCTTCCTCCTCTCAGAGCAAGCTGGTACCTCCTACCTCATCTTTTCCAGTCTGTTCATCAGCCTGACCTCTGAGGCAGTCTCCTTTGTCTTCTCCCAAGTTGCTCCAGTTAGCCCCTCCGTTCTCTCCTTCCCAGTTTCCCTTGCATACATCTTTGTGCACTGTGCCACCCTCAGCTTTTCTTCAAACCAACTGAATACTGGCTATGCCCTCTTCTTAACCTGTCCAGACCTCCCTCCCTTTTTTTGCATAAAATTCACTAATCTTCCATTGTGACTGTGCTACCAAGGTTATCACCAATTGATGCCCAAGAAACTGAATCCGTATTTTTTGGTCTCATTTTCTTAGACCTCTTCTTGCTACTCAATACAACCCATCTCCTTTCCTAAGTTGTCTTCTGTGATGGCTAATGTGTCAACTTGATTGGATTGGAAGCTGCCTAGGGGATCAGTAAAGCTATTTTGGGGGTGTCTGGGTAGGTTATGGAGGTGGGCCCTGGGGCACTCTGTCTGGTTTCCAGCCCCCTTTTCTTTGCACAGTTTCTCTGCTTTACATCCCAGTTACTTTGAGCTAAGCACCTTTGTTCCACCACACCCTCCACCATGACATGTCTACCTGGGAGTCAGGGACCATGGACTGCACATCCTGAAACCGGGAGCCAAAATCAGCCTGTCCTTTAAATTGTGGCCATCAGCTGTTTTTCTTAGCAATGGAGAAGCTGACCGCTACGCCTTCCTTCCAGGGCTCCCAGGACAGCATGTGCCTTGGCTTTTAGCTGCCTTTGCTGTTGCCCTTAAGCAGCACTTTCCTGAGTTGCTGCTCCTGGGCTGTCTCTCAGCTTTGGTGCTTCCAGGCCTCTGAGCAGGCATCTCTTGTCTTCTTATCCAGGGACTTCCCAGGAGGGTTGTGCCTCACCCCCAAACCCAAGGTCACGGCTGGGCCTGAAGAACAGCTTCTGCATATGTTCAGCTCTCACGAAGGTCCTCAGCAACTCTAAAGTCCTCACTCAGTAACTGAATCTTCTTTGTACTGCTTTCTCTATTCACACTGCTGTATACATTCCAAAATCACTTACTTTCCTTTAGATGAAGATGACCAGGATAGACCCCATGGCTTTGATAATAGCTTTTATGTATGTCTTCCATGAACAGCCACTGCTTTCTTTTATTTCTTTATTATAATAGTATTTAATAAGAACATTTATTAGAATGAATTTATCTGAAGACATAGAAGCTCCTGTCTGTTGAGCAGGTAAATGAGTGACACTTCATGTGCCTTAGACAGCCACTGTTTTCTATCCCAATATTGGGCTGTTTTCTTGACACCTGCAGCACATCTCACTTTTAAAAAGTAGCGTACTTTTGATTTTACGTGGGAAATAATTCTGAGACCCTTTCCCATAATTCAGTGAAGACAACTTCAGACAATTTCTTATTTATCAGTTTTGAAAATTGACAGTTGCAGTATCAAATTCATGTTTATTCTAATCCGTTGTTTATTTAGCTGCCCCTTGTCTTTCCTTACTACCACACAGCCATCTTTTCACTGTGTAGATTGTACCCGCCTTGTAAGTGCCTTTTGCTTTTTTAAGTCTGCAAGACATCATGCATGCTGGGGTAACCTGCGGCCCCTTGCTTAGCTGCTCCCAACACTAGCCACAATGGTCCCTTGATGCAATCTTAGCTCTCTCCAAGCTGCAAGGGAAACACCCTGGGGAGCCAGCTTGAGACCTCGGGCTGCTAGAAACTGAGTGTCTGACTGAACGTGAGTTTGTGTCAGTTGTTTCAGTCTTTAAATTTTCCTTGTCCTCTCTAAATTTCCCCCAATTAAGTTCCAAAATGGCATGTGGGGTCTCTAAGACTGCATTGCCTATTTGCTAACAAAAAGAATGGCTTGGCGCTTTTGTTAACTGAACTTGGCAACTTGTGGCATTTTATTTCTTTAGTTATAAAAATCATGCAGTAGTGCCTCTCTCAGTTATTAGGTTGGAATAAGTTAGGATAGGCTGATGTTTTAGCACCTGGCACATAACAGATGCTCAAGTATGAACTCATTATAATATTTCAAAGTATGCTTATTTTAATTTGTAAGTTCTTTAGTGAAGACATGCCACAAAGATGTGTTCAAATAGATATTTTGGTGTATAAGGTCAAAACCATATACCATTATTCAGCAATACCATAGCTTACCTCTCTTCCTCTGTCTCCCCTCTGTCTTTCTGTCTCTGTCTCCATCTCCCCCCTCCCCAAAATCTGGTTAATGTCCATGACAGTTTGGCCACTGATGATTATAATGATACTTTTGGTGGCTTACCTTTAATCTTGGAAAACTAACTGGAGGTATGTGAGCATCATCAATAAATTAACACCCTTAAAATTGAAAGTGTTTCTGGTGTGTGGTAGCTGACTTTCTGAGCTCAGGTGACAGAGGTTCAATGTTTAAAACAGAGTTTAACATTGTGCAGAACTTTGTGGTTGACAGGTTGACCATAGAAGTGTCAGCAGAGGACAGATTTAATAATGTGGTAATGACTAAGACGCTGAGGAAACGGGGGAGGCGTTGTGTGTACGGGATGCGTACATGACTGTATTTGCACCATCTGTTGTGGTGAGTGGTTTCCTTATGTCACCTTGTGGTTGTTGTTCAAGGGAGCATGCTGGCTGAGGGGCAGTAGAGTGAGCGCTGTGGACAGGTGACAAAGCATTTCCCAGCCCTTCCTCTGTCCCCATAAGGGTAAACACTTACCTTCCCTGGCTAAGGGTGAAGCTCTATGAGTGAAGCATGCAGACCTCTTTACTTGTATGCACCAGCCTATATTTTGACAGGTTGCAAGTGATTAAAGCCACCAGACCTGCCAATAAACCTAGAATACACGCATTTTTATTTAGATGCTTCCTGTCTTCAGACTATTCATATCTGTAGTAAGAGTAGGAAGAGCTGATAGAAAAACAACTGAAATTTTAAATTTAGTTTCACAGCTGACATTCTCATTTTAGAATTGAAATACTATATGCCGTCACAAAATCTATTTCTTGAAAAGCCTAGTCACAGAGTTAATTGAGTAGTGCTATCTTGTAATTAAAAAATCAGTGGATGCCCTCAATCCTGAAGCCTTAGGTTTGTGGACTCAGGCTGCTGGACTATAAATTGGGCACCAAATGCAAACAAGCTTAGGATATATTTTTCTCGTGGAACCAAAAAAAAAAAAAAAAAATTTTTTTTTCTTCCTCGTTCCTGTCCTTTTTGCTTATTCTTAACTGCCATTTCCTTCTTCTCAATTATAAAAAGTTTTAAAAACC